GCGCTGATTGGCCTGATTTACTCAATAATTACTCCTTTATTATAAATAATAGAAAAAAATGGTTCAGGACTTTTCGACTCAGTTTTATTCCTTCTATCTGCCTACGAGAGATTGTACGGCTATTCTGGGACACCCTGTATATATATATATATAAAAAAAAAAACTTAATTGAAAAGCTATTTTCTCGATGAAGTCGAACGTTTCGAGCGCATCCGGTTATTTTTTTATTTTTTTTTTTTATTAGCGCTTGTGTCTCGGAAACGCGCATTGGAATATCTCGCAAGAGGAAGATAAATAAAATTACGTATCTTGAAATTTGTTTATTTATTTTAAACTATTGATCAATAAAAACGTGGTATGCGCGTTCTTTTGTAACTTTTTCTCTTATTATTAATTCTAAAAAAAAAAATAAAAAACAATAGATAGATTTGTCCCGATTGTATCGTCACCAAGCCCGCAAAGGCCTTTTGCGGGATTGGTTTTAATCGCAAATAAAACCGAGACGTCAACCACGAACGAGATGAGACATCCGCACGGACGATTGCATTATGCCGACGAGTATCGAGCCGCCGCTCGACACAAGCGCTGCGAGGATGATACATATATATATATATATATATAAAACGTCGAGGGGTCGCGTATCTGGCGCACACGTTGTGAAAACGTACTCTACGGTGGATGCGGACGATTGAACTTTGACATTTCGCGGAGGAGAGGAGAACTCTTTCTTCCCTATTACTGCGAGATATATTCCACGGACTCAATTGGATGGAACTCTCTCTCGCGCGCGCGCGCGTTTATGCCGAACTGAAAAGATTCGACATGGCAGGCACAATGAACGATACGTATCTTTAGACGTAATTCACTTCGAGGATCGGGATTCACTTCGAGGATCTCGTTCTCGTTTGTGCTGATACGACGAAGACACTTTGTTGCGCACGTGATCTCGAGAGAATGATTGCAGTTGAAAGAAGATGAGATGAGAAAAAAAAAAAAAAAAAAAATGAAGGAATGATGACGTATTCTTCGCAAAATTGAGTTGTTTTGCAAACGCACTCGGTTTGTGAGAAAATCGTTTTCCAAAACACGCGCTTCATTTTCTAAAAGAAAACACGTTTTATATATGTATAGCATCTGAAATAAGTGGGATATGCAAATATCAACACGGGTTTTGATTGTGCGATCTGTTGTGACATAAAATTTACAAAATTAGATTGTTGTTTTCTTTCTCTCTCTCTCTCTCTCTCTCTCTCTCTCTCTCTCTCTCTCTCTCTCTCTACCACTATCGTGATTAAAAAAAGAAAGGAAAGAAAACTCAGAAGAAAGAAATTTGCTGCACGCGGAAAGCCCGAGTTCAGCCGTGGTGTCTCTCTCTTTTTCGCAGTAAATTTTTTTTCAATTTCATACGAGAGAGTGAAACGAATAATTTATATATCGGAGATGCAATTAAGCAAATTAAACAAATTAATTTTTCAATCTCAGATGAGGTTGAAAAATTAATTCAAATTTCCAAGCGCAAGAGACAATTGCGGAAGTAACGAATGACACAGCTCGATTGTAATCAAAAATGTATTTGACCGTGACCGCGATCGTATGTGTAAACTCTCTTCCTCCTTCCCAGACATATCACACACACACGAATCCTACCTGAAAAAGCTTGTGTAAATAACGTGTTTTTAAAGACGCGTGACCAAAGTAAAGTCACGTGTTGTTTTTTCACTCCTCCCTCTCTCTTTCTATTTTTCGAGTTTGATTTTCATGCGATATTTCTGACATCTCTCGTGTGTACATCGTGTGTCATCTTCGCGGTGACGCAAGTTGTGTTCACTGACACAATACGTTAAAATAAAAATAATAATAATAACGTGCGCGTAGTAGCGCGCGCCTGTGTTGTGCTCTAGTGACATTAAAAAGAAAACATGGCATATGTTTTGTTATTTAACAAAAAGCGCGAGAATGTTTCAACGGGAAAATTTGGTGCAAATTTCACAGTGTGTTAATTTACACGTTAAAAAAATATATTTGCACGTACATTGATCGCTCGCACATTGATCTTCGAACTATCTGCTGGTTGTAAAAAAAAAAAAAAAAAGAATTCTAATACGCTCAAAAAATCAGTTTTTGATGGTTTTTTTTCAAATTAATGCGAAAGGAGAGACACGCAGATTACTTTTAATTAAATCCAGTGACAAATACGGTTGATGGTATTAAAAAGAGCTGAATTATCGCTCTTCTCACAGCTGCACAAATAGCAAACGTAAAAGCTCCCAATTTCAAGCTGCGTGATAAGATTCCGAGCGAGCAGATAATCCGAAGTCGCGCGTAACGCATCTCGCTGCGTACGTGTAGCGCGGGGACGGGAGGGGAACACGTTGGTAATTTACTTTCGAGTATCAGAGACGGTGGATAATGAGGCGAAGAGAACGACGACGACGTCGTTCGCGAACGA